ACTATTGAGCTTGGCCCTCCTATTACGCCATTTGGAACCGTTTTCCGGCTGTTTATGGTAATTCGGGTCGTGAAAGGGGAATCCCTGGCTTGCAGACTACTGTGGGTGGCATACAATAACGCAAGAACAGCCTGATTCCCCACTGGGTTAACGTTGCCGAAGAATAGTATATTATCAACACGTTGACATTCTGGAAAAGACCAATAGGCAGCAGCTGGTGCTCAATAGTGCAAATGCTACATTTCTTTTCTTTTACGGAACTTTACCAAATCGGCAGCAAGTGACTGTACTTGAAGAAGCAAATTGCAGGGGTCTCATTGCTATGACAGTTTTATCATACAGGATCAGAATCACAACACATCAAATTACTGAGTTATGCTAATTAAATTGATTGTACGAGTCTATTTCCGACCGGTTTCAAACTATATGCACTGTCATTCCAATGATTCCAGCAGCGAAGACCCGCCAAGCTCGTCAAGCTCCTGTTCAATATCCACCAGTTCCCATACTATTTAGTTTCAATAGCGATCATCGGCCCAGCAGGTCGACCAATCGATGCACCGGAAGTTTGTCCTGATGGATCGCGTCGATCACCCGGCTTGTCTCCTCCGCCGTGAACAGGCCCTCCATGTTTCGCTCAAATTTGGCACGCACCTTGGGCAAAGTATCTTCGTGCATCGGATGCCCGATCGGGTATTCGACGACTACTTCGTCTAATTGCTCCCCGTTGGTCAGAAAGACGGTGAGTCCGCTGGCCGCCGCCTTTTTGTGGTGGTAGCCGTAGGTGAACTGCGGGTCTTCGGCCATATGGATCCGCTGGCGAAGGGCCTCAACACGCGGGTCATGGGCCCACACGCTCGAATCGTGGTAGTCGTCTGCTTCGATGATCGCGTTCTTCAACAGCACCACCGACACCATGTACCGCATGCAGTGATCGCGGTCGGCCGCATTGGTGAGCGGGCCTTGCTTGTCGATGATGCGGACAGCCGCTTCATGCGTGCGGATATCTATGCGACTGATATCAGTAGCGGGATCGATCCCCCTGCTGGCCATGGTCTCGGCCAGCGACATGGCTGCCTGAACTGCGGAGATGCCGTGGCCCTCTGCAGTGATGAGTTTGAAGAACACTTCCTCCATCACCCGTGTCTTGAAGGGTCGTGGCAGCTGCAGCTCCTTACCCCCAAAGCTGACAGCCAGAAAACCCCATTCTGGCTCAGTTAGCGCGCTAGGGATGCCTGGCTGGCCGGCGCGAGCTAGTAGGCACAAGTGTACAGCACGCATGGCGGCGTCTCCAGCGGCCCAGCCCTTGCGTGGCCCCGCATTGGGACTTTGACGGAAGATGCGCAGAGGGTGGCCATCAGCCCACGCATGGGAGAGAGCGACGGCGGCTTGTTTCTCCGTCAGACCCATCAGCCAAGCGACAACAGCTGTGGAGGCGATCTTCACAAGTAGCGTATGATCCAGCCCCACCTTGTTGAAGGCATTGCGGACCTGGTAGCAGCCTTGAATCTCGTAGGCTTTGATCATCGCGATCAGAACCGTCCGGACGGTCAGTGGCTGGCTGGTGGCGCCTGTACGGCTGAGCCAATCTGTGACCGCCAGGATGGCGCCCAGGTTATCTGTTCGTCGATCGGTTAGCCCCATATCCAACCAAGCTTCTGGGAGCGCAGATCCCGCAGACGGGCCTTACCAGATGGGTGGCCCCATTCGGCACCAGGGTATGCATCATTGTGATCCAGAAAGCGAATCAAGGTTGCCATGTCAAAGGCACCCTTGACTGGATCGAGCTGGTGGCAGGTGCCCGGCAGCTTGAACCCATAAGGAGCGACCAGACCTGGTGTGTATGGGCCGATCAGAGCGCGACACTCGGGGCTTTGTTGAAGAGTCTCCAGAGCGCAACCAAGAGCATCCATGAGAGCATAGCGGGCCCGCAGGATAGCGAGGTCGCTTGTTACTTCGTAGTGGTAGACATACTCGACTAGGCGAGTTATCATTTCGTCATACTGTCGATCGGAAGTGGAAGACATGGTTTTCGGAGTGTGCACGGAAAGACTTTGGAGTAGATAGGATTCGGAAGAAATGTTTGGATTGGCTCAGAAAGCGACGAGAGTGATGGCGAACGAAACAGACCGCAAAGGGAACCGCCCTTTTATGCTCCGTCGGGCAGACCGTGTCAGCCAGATGCCTTTAGATCGCCGGTTATAGTCTCTGCGGGCTGTCACTAGTCGATGGACTAAAGCTTGACAGACTATCTCGGCGTATCCATTCGTCCTTTTGAACTATTCCGTCCGAGACTGGATGGTCTCGGACAGATGGCTGCTGCCATGCCAGACGAGGTACAAATATGTGCTTCAAAGCCAGACAAATCCCAACAGAATCAGGACAGCAGCAGCGACAATCCTTCGCAGACTCATCGCATCCCCTTCTACATCATGGCATACACACTGGCATCTTGGCTGGGCCGCCTCTTCGATGCAGGCAAGAGCTTGCTGCCCTTGCAAGGCAACTACATCAATGCCCTACTGGAGCAGGAGCTGCCTGGTGAGCGTGAAGGCACATTGACAGTGCGGGATAACCGGACGGGATCGAAGTATACGATTCCCATCGTGCGCAACTCAGTACCGGCCATGGGATTCCGTCAGATCTGCGTCGACCGTGCAGGAAAGAGCCCGCGACAGCAATTCGAGGATGGACTCCGGTTGATTGATCCGGGGTACCGCAACACAGCCGTCAAGATGTCCAGCATCACCTACATGTATGCTTACCTTTTGTCCCCTGGTCATCTTTGTCTTACTAACTGAGGTAGCAATGGCAACGAGGGCGTCATTCTGTACCGGGGCCACCCCCTGGCATCGCTCATCGGAAAGAGCTACGAAGAGATTACCCACCTTCTCATCTGGGGCTCGCTACCCACGCCCGAGGAGCGTCTGCGCTTCCAGCGGCGAATTGCCGAGGCGATGATGGTGGTGCCCGAGAACGTAAAGCAGCTTGTGGCCACTTTCCCGTAAGTCCGCCCCTTATCTTCGCTATGCATGCTGCTAACCTTGAAGCAGACGCAACACTCCTCCTATGGTCATTCTCTGCGCGGTCTTGACGGGCTATCTGGCAGATCAACCCGAGCTCATCCCCGCCCATGCAGGTGCCAACCTGTACAACCGACGCCCAGAAATGGTCGATGAGCAGATCATCCGCACGCTAGCTGTCACGGCGATAGCCGGGTCGATAGCTCACTGCCACATGAAGGGAGAGGAGCTCCGCGCAGCCGACCCGAACCTGAGCTACATCGAGAACATCCTTTGGATGGGCCGGTATGTGGATAACAACGCGGCAATCACACGGGAGAAGGCAGCGGAGATCTTGACGAAGGCGTGGTCGCTGTATGCGGATCATGAGATGACCAACTCGACATCGGCTTTCCTTCACGTCTCGTCTTCCCTGGCCGACCCACTTTCGGCGATGGCTGCATGCTGCATGTCTGGCTACGGACTATTGCACGGAGGTGCCATCGACGCGGCATACCGAGGAATGCGGGAGATTGGTGGACCGGAGAATGTGCCCAAGTTGATCGAGAAGGTGATCAACAAGGAGTGCCGGTTATCCGGATACGGCCATCGGATCTACAAGCAGGTGGACCCTAGGGCGAAGTACGTGCGCGAGATGCTGGACGAACTGACACGGGATCGCGACATCCGGGAGATGGACCCTGTGCTCCAGGTGGCCATGGAGATCGATCGGATTGCGAGCACACACGAGTACTTTGTCAAGCGCAACCTGCAGGCAAATGCGGACTTGTACGGAAGTTTCGTGTACACGGCACTGTAAGTATTCCCCATGAATTCGAAGAGGATGTCTACTAATCCATGCAGGGGTATTGACTCGCAATTTGCGACGGTGCTGGCAGCTACTGCACGGGTGTCGGGTGTGATGGCACACTGGAAGGAGCAGACTGGTAAGTTTTCGTCACTTCCCTTCTTGCGAAGAAGAGAAACTAACGAATGTAGAACGCGCACCGGATTTGTGGCGGCCACTGCAGGTGTACGTGCCGAACTAGAAATAGGGGTTTAAGGATGGAATTGTACAGAATGGGTCATCATAGGAGTCTATTGTTTTCGGGTCTGGGTCTTGGTTACTCCATAGTTTGCGCTATATTCTTTAGTTAATATATTTCAACAATAGTTCTTGATTGTCATCTACAATATTTATGGTGTCATACAGTGAAGCGTACTCGTTTCAAAAATAGGGTACCTGCAATAATTATCACAATGATAATTGACGTGTGGTATTTAGAATTATAGAGCTATAAATAGAGTCCTAGAATTTCGCTTGATGATAGATGGTAACAGCTTATTGTATAAGATCCAAGAACATATTAGAAACATAACCTAGTATGACCGTAGTAGTCAATCAGGAGTACTAACTTATAACTACTAATGCTCCCCAAGAGTCATCTTAAAAAGCAAATATCATTATGAAGAATAATTGCTAGTATATATTTTTAGTAGTAACTTCAAGTGGTCCTATAACAGTAGCATGGGTGTACTGAAAGTGGGGCGGCTCAAGAAAAAAGTTACTCCAATTTTTATCATCTATCCAGAGTTCAGCTAGAAATCGGGGCTGAGGCCGGAGATACCGATCGATTTGGTCCAGTGTCCAATTTTATCTAGTTTTTGCATCCTCTGTCAACTCTTGCTAGAGAGACTAATCCATTAGACCGGAGCCAACCATCCAATCCCGTGGCTGCACACGCCCAGCGGAGGTTAGTTCCGAGACCACTTTTTCAACCTATGCATGCTTTGCTCAGTCCAAGTCTGTGGATCGCGTGCATCTCAAAGGTCACCATGGAGTGTTCTCGGTGGTTAATACTTCTAAGACAAGTGGCATGCCTGCGACCCATACACTATCATTGTAGGCGCCACACTACTTCACGACGGTGTTGGATTATCACCGTCGTTGGAATCATAAAGTTGATAGTTACTACGACTGCTATTGCTACTAAAAGGTCTCAATCTAAGTAGCAACCTCAAGTTAGAGTCAAGCCCCTCCTTTCTTCTCGATTTCCATCACTGAACCCACCATCTCATCTTACTATCATACACCTCCTCATAAGCAGATCCAGTATTCACCCAACCAAAGCCAACCATGAAGCTCCTACCCACCCTCGTTGCCAGTGCCCTAGTCCCTTACCACCTCTGTTCAGGCTGCCAACTGCAATGCTGGCCTGAACTACTGTGCCTCTGTGCTGAAAAGCATCGGTACGTGTGCTCCCATAGTATTCTACCTAACCAAAAAATGTCGAGTATATTGTTCATCATTGGATTCTGACTTTCACCGTTGAATACCCTTAGATTTCAAGTACGTTTCAAATGATGAATGCCGCCATTGGGCAGAAATATGGAGAGTTCAATGCAGATCTTGTCCACCCGATGCTCTACCTGTGGCATTGCAATGCCGATGGATCTGTCAGTATTGTCAAGCGCTGTGATTGGGACTGCGTGGATGGAGGTGCTGGAAATAGTGATTACTGCCAATGGCAGCAGTAGATTTGTTATAAAGTGATGTGGTGTATATTTGTGGCAGGGGTTTTGATTTGGTCGTTTGGGTTTGAGGTTGGGATTAGCATGTATTGCTTGTGTTATTTACATGGGGAGTGTTTTTCAGAAGACATAAGTTCTGCTAGTGAGTAGAATCAATTTTGGACGTATCTGCGAAGAAGGTACTTAAAGTCCGCTTTGTATGCCCGTGTTTGTCAATGGCAGATGAAGGAGTGTGGTAGTTGCCTATACTGAGAGTTCTAGAGTCTTCCACAATCTCTGTATCAACAACCGCCAGAACTCATCACATTTCTTTTGTGTCCGACTCCACAAATTCCAAAGAAATATATCTGCGACCTTAATTAAATCCCCTAGGTGCCTTGATAGCGGTCTGCATTAATAGTGTCATCTCGTATAATAATTAGCTTCACTAGTTGCAAATGGGCGGCAGCGATCGACACGCCGCAAACAAGCAACAAAAGACCCACAATGACGAGTCGATTCTACAGAAGAAATACTGAAATTTGCATATCACTTAGACTATTGACGTGTTTCAATTTGATCCATATCCTATCACGGCCTAATGCAATGATAGTTTATATGGTGGGTCATCGACCAGTCGATCCGGGCATTTCTACGCCGTGTCTAAACTCCGTACCAAAATACTCCTAGTAGATTATAGTCCAAAGGATAGTTAGATCCAAAAATGAATCGAATCGAGAAAATGAAGACAATCGGGTTCGCCAAGAAGTACCTTATGTTCTTACATTCTTTCTTTTTCTTTGTTGTTGGGTAACCATTCACATCCCCATAGGGCTATAACCGACAAACTTCCACTTTTCCCTCGCCAAGCCATTTTTCTCACTTGCTATCATACTCCTCTCTTCTATCCCCATCAATTATTTCCCATCATTTACCTGTCCTTCAGTCGCATAATACATAATAAAGTTCTACCACAATGACCTCTCACACACCTCCCCCCGCCAATGTCACCAAAACCCCCGTAACTCACACCCTCTCCAACTGGCTGGAAGAACTCACTCCCGAGTCCATTCCCGCCGAAGTCCGTGAACGAGCCAAATACCTCATTCTCGATGGATTGGCCTGTGCTTTGCTGGGGGCACGACTCCCCTGGTCCATCAAGGCCCATGATGCCATCACTGCCATTGAGGGAGAGGGCAAATGTACCGTGATCGGATGGAATAAGGTATTTCTTTCTCCTCTCATCAGATTCCTTCACTACTATAGACGTAATGAACAGGATGCTAATGAAGTGATAGACCCTCCCTCCCAATGCCGCCGCCCTTCTGAACAGCACCTTCATTCAAGGCTTCGACCTCGACGACATCCACATCGAGGCCCCCTTGCACAACATGTCCGTCATCGTCCCAGCGATTCTCGCAGCCGCAGAACAGGAACACGGCATCTCGGCTCGCCCTATCAGCGGCAAAGACTTCCTAACCGCCACAGTTGCCGGCTGCGAAACGGGACCCCGTGTAGGCTACGCCCTGGGCGGAACACACATGCTCACAATCGGATGGCACTCCGGTGCCATCTTCGGCCCTGCTGCATCTGCCGCAGCTGTCTCCAAGCTGTTGAATCTCCCCGCCGCGCAGATCGAAGATGCCCTGGGCATGGCGTGCACACAGGCTTGCGGACTCATGTCCGCCCAATTCGAGAGCATGGTGAAGCGCATGCAGCATGGGTTCGCATCACGGAGCGGAGTACTTGCCACATACCTGGCAAAGCAGGGATTCACGGGAATCAAGGAGATCTTTGACCGCGAGTATGGTGGGTTCTTGAAGATGTTCTCGCTCGGGGCAGAGACTGAGCCCAAGTTTCACCCAGAAGAAATTTGTAAGGGATTAGGGGAGGTATGGCAGATCAAGAAAATCAAGCAGAAGTTGCATGCGTTGTGCGCGGTGACGCATTGTACGGTGGATTGTGTTAAGGATATTCAGGCTGAGCATCCTGCGAAGATGGGAGAGTGGAAGAAGATCGTCAAGATCGAGGCGGAGATGGCAAGGGCTGCGATGAAGAAGGGTGGCTGGGCGCCGGAGAAGCCGGCTACCGTCACAGCGGCGCAGATGAGTATACCGTACGCGGTGGCGTTGCAGGTCGTGGATGGGGAGATTGTGCCGGGGCAGTTTGCGCCGAGTATGTTGAACCGGGAGGAGCTGTGGGATGTGATTGGATTGGTGGAGTGTCGGGAGGCTAAGGAGCTGGATAATACGTGGGCGCAGAGGGTCAAGATCACGTTTGAGGATGGGAAGGTGCTGGAGAAGTTGTTGAAGGCGCCCAAGGGAGTCCACCCCGGGGTGACCAATGAGGAGGTGTTGGAGAAGTGGCGGGCTGTGACGAAGGGGGTGATTCCGGAGGAGAGGCAGAAGAAGATCGAGGAGGTGGTGTTGAACTTGGAAGAGGTGGAGGATGTTGCGGGTGTTTTGGGCGAGTTGTTGAGGGGGGAGACGGTGAATGTGCTGCAATAGAAGATTACCCCTTTCGGACGGGGATGGCTTCATATTTTCCAAGCGATGTCACGCCATACCAAAGACTCATTTACCCGGTGCCTGAGCAGATCTCTATTTGTAAACAATGCCAATGTTCGTATTGTTTTAATTGCTAAATGCAAGCATTCCAAGTTCTTCCTAATGCCGGCTAAATCATTCAGGCTAAACCCCGCGATGAAGTCAATCGGCCATTCTCCGGCACATCTCCGCATCTCCGCAAAATTCTATAAATCTACCCCAGGTTCAGTCCCCGACCATCTTTTTCTCCCCCCACAGACTGGCTCAACCATGGCGCACTCAATGTCTCGTCCCGTGGCTGCCACTGCCGCTGCTCTGTTGGCTCTGGCTCTTCCCCAAGCTCTTGCCCAGGCCAACACCAGCTATGTCGATTACAACGTCGAAGCCAACCCCGACTTGTACCCTTTGTGCGTGGAAACCATCCCACTGAGCTTCCCCGACTGCCAGAATGGCCCCCTGCGCAGCCACCTCATCTGCGACGAATCAGCCACCCCCTATGATCGAGCAGCATCGCTCATCTCGCTCTTCACGCTGGACGAGCTGATCGCGAACACTGGCAACACCGGCCTCGGGGTCTCCCGACTGGGCCTCCCTGCATACCAAGTATGGAGTGAAGCACTTCACGGCCTCGACCGTGCCAACTTCAGCGACTCAGGCTCCTACAATTGGGCCACCTCATTCCCCCAGCCTATCCTGACCACCGCAGCCCTCAACCGCACCCTCATCCACCAAATCGCCTCCATCATCTCCACCCAAGGCCGCGCCTTCAACAACGCCGGCCGCTACGGCCTCGACGTCTACGCCCCCAACATCAACACCTTCCGCCACCCCGTCTGGGGTCGCGGACAAGAAACTCCAGGAGAGGACGTCTCTCTCGCCGCCGTCTACGCCTACGAATACATCACCGGCATCCAGGGTCCCGACCCAGACTCAAACCTCAAACTCGCCGCCACGGCCAAGCACTATGCCGGCTACGACATCGAGAACTGGCACAACCACTCCCGCCTGGGCAACGACATGAACATCACCCAGCAAGACCTCTCCGAATACTACACACCCCAGTTCCACGTCGCCGCCCGCGACGCCAAAGTCCACAGTGTCATGTGTGCCTACAACGCCGTCAACGGCGTCCCTGCCTGCGCCGACTCTTACTTCCTCCAGACCCTCCTCCGCGACACCTTCGGATTCGTCGACCACGGCTACGTCTCCAGTGACTGCGACGCCGCCTACAACATCTACAATCCCCACGGCTACGCCTCCTCCCAGGCTGCCGCTGCCGCTGAGGCCATCCTCGCTGGCACCGACATCGACTGCGGTACCACCTACCAATGGCACCTGAACGAGTCCATCACTGCGGGAGATCTCTCTCGTGATGATATCGAGAAGGGTGTGATCCGCCTCTACACGACCCTCGTGCAGGCCGGATACTTCGACTCCAACACCACCAAGGCGAACAACCCCTACCGCGACCTCACCTGGTCCGATGTCGTCGAGACGGACGCATGGAACATCTCCTACCAAGCCGCGACGCAGGGCATAGTCCTTCTCAAGAACTCCAAGAACGTCCTTCCCCTCACCGAGAAAGCTTACCCCCCATCCAACACTACCGTCGCCCTCATCGGTCCCTGGGCCAACGCCACCACCCAACTCCTGGGCAACTACTACGGCAACGCTCCCTACATGATCAGCCCCCGCGCCGCGTTCGAAGAAGCCGGATACAACGTCAACTTCGCCGAGGGCACCGGTATCTCCTCCACAAGCACCTCGGGCTTCGCAGCCGCCGTATCCGCCGCCCAGTCCGCCGACGTGATCATCTACGCCGGTGGTATCGACAATACCCTCGAAGCGGAGGCACTGGATCGCGAGAGCATCGCATGGCCGGGTAACCAACTGGACTTGATCCAGAATCTCGCCTCGTCGGCTGGAAGCAAGCCGCTCATCGTTCTCCAAATGGGCGGTGGACAGGTCGATTCCTCATCTCTCAAGAACAACACGAACGTCTCTGCACTCCTCTGGGGCGGATACCCCGGCCAATCCGGCGGTTTCGCTCTGAGAGACATTATCACCGGAAAGAAGAACCCCGCGGGCAGACTAGTCACGACACAATACCCAGCCAGCTACGCTGAGGAGTTCCCCGCGACGGATATGAACCTCCGTCCTGAGGGAGATAACCCCGGCCAGACATACAAATGGTACACCGGCGAAGCAGTGTACGAGTTCGGCCACGGATTATTCTACACGACCTTCGCGGAATCATCCAGCAATACCACCACGAGGGAAATCAAACTCAACATCCAGGACATTCTTTCCCAGACACACGAAGACCTGGCGTCTATTACGCAGCTCCCTGTGCTGAACTTCACTGCCAATATCAAGAACACTGGCAAGGTGGAGTCGGATTACACCGCCATGGTGTTCGCGAATACGTCTGATGCAGGCCCGGCGCCGTATCCGGTGAAGTGGCTGGTCGGGTGGGATCGGCTTGGGGATGTGAAGGTCGGGGAGACGAGGGAGTTGAGGGTTCCCGTTGAGGTGGGGAGCTTTGCGAGGGTGAATGAGGATGGCGATTGGGTGTTGTTCCCGGGGACGTTCGAGTTGGCGTTGAATCTGGAGAGGAAGGTTCGGGTCAAGGTTGTGTTGAGTGGTGAGGAGGAGGTGGTGTTGAAGTGGCCGGGGAGGGAGGAGTAGATCATCGCTCCAGGCGACTGATTATCATCATCATGATGATGTATATAGCCCCTAACTATTTATTATCAATTGACATTATATGTTAACTCATAGAGCTAGCCTCCGTCGTGAGCGAATAAAGTGAAGATTTCATAAACTTCATTACTGACTAGCTAGCTATAGGCTATTCACAATTAGCCGGTTCTGCAATATGGCTTACCCGCCCTGCAGGATTATCACCAACTACTCTTGGCATAAAACGTAAACAAAGGCCTGGGACCAGGATCCGTCCGACTCAGAAGGAGCAAATCCCTCGTTCGCATACTCGCCACATGAACCTGTTGCTCCGATACCTCTTCAACCGGGTCTTCAAATGCCCAGAGGACGCTTTCTTCCTGATATCCATCGGATACGCGCTGGCCGCTCAGACATACGAATGATGTACCCTGTCTTCCGAAGGAGACAACCGTGTTTCCGAATCCGGTGTCGAAGTCATAGGTCTGGAATTTGAAGAGCGTGCGGGCGTTGCCTTGGAGGGTTGGGAGTGCGACTGTAGAAGGTATATAGGCGTTAGCCTAGTTTTTGATCGAATGGCCATACTTATACACCAGTTTTGAGGGGGCTCACTGTCGCTGAAGCTGCCGTTGTCGAGGGTTCGTTCTTGGGCAATCATGGTTACTGTTCTGATGGCCAGCTGTTTCGAAGTTGGGGGTTAGTAGAGGATATTGGGGATATGGTGGGTTGTGTGCTTACCAGCACTAGTTTCTTGTAGTCCTCTGGAATGGGATATGAGATTGGGGAGTTTATTTCTTCGGGGTTTTGGTTGATGGCTTGGACCTTTCATTTTCCTGTCAGTAATGTAATGATAGCCATAGGATTTTTGGTGCATGCGCAGGCTCACTTTGGTACGAATCACAGAGAGTATGTTGGCCCCTTCTTCGTACAGCTCAGATTGTTGCTCTCTGCCGTTGATGAACTTTGGAACAGGGACTATCATATAAAGGGGGTTAGTAGATGGCAGCAAGCGGTGATTGGGGTGGAAGCTATACTCTTCCTGACGAGCTCAAGGTACGCGTCGTACTGCGTAAAGTCTTCGAATAGGTACCAGCTCTGGTTCAGTTAGTTGCATTCCACGAATAATCATGCAGAGCAGGTCTCACCCTCTGATTGGCAAAAGTGTAGTCAAAGGGCGTAAATGCACTGTTGAAATTCGGCACGTTGGTGTATCTCCACAGAAGTGCACTGCGTTGATGTAAATATCTTGTTGCCGAGAAAACTTAAGAGGGAGAACTCACAATCGTCTATATCTATGCTTTCCCTCCCTCAACTCCTGATAGAAATTGTCTGCGCCTTCCTTGATCGCAAAAAGAGGCGAGTCTTCACCGTCGTGGGGTTCTGCGTGGATGACTCCAGATCGGCCTCCGCCTCCAGAGGTATGGATCCAGACAGTGACGCGAGAGTGTCTGTTGATTGTCTCCACGGCACTTCTCACTTCGTTTGTGACGGAGCCGGTGACTCCGTACATTGAGAAAGCAACCTCAGATCTTTCAGAAGTGTCAGGAGGAAGTAAGTTGAAGGACTCTGTGATGACTTACGCCTGTCTGATCTCTTGGCTGGTAGATTTGTTGACTGCGGAAATGGAGACGCGAGCAAAGTATTGGCCACCTCGAATGAAATCTGCCACGGCTATTTAGCATCTACCCAGTGGCTAGAACATAGTACATTGTCTATCTTACCTGCAATAAAACGGTCTCCGTACAACTTATTCGGAGTATCGGTGCTGATTTGATTAAAGGAATACGAATTCCCGATTGATGCTTGCTGTCTGGATGACACCTGGACTTGATAGGTCACCGTACTGCTTTCAAAACTGTGTCGATGAAGATTAGCTGGTTTGAATGCCCAAGTCAGGCCAGAACAGATCACACTCACCTTAGCCGATCAAGATAGCCAGCGTCGATTTGGGAGGACTGTCCCCAGCCGGAAATAGCAGCGCCAGCACTTATCTCCAAGGACTGCGCAAGTTTTCTGAAAGGGCAGAAGGAAAAGAAGTCAGAATTACACCTCAAACTGAGAAGGTGAGTGTGCGGACGTGTAATAATTGATCCTTTCACTACTATAGAAGAGGTCATAGGTGACGGACTCCGGTTGGCCCGGAGTGATAGTGACAGCATCTGCTACACCAATTTGTTGAAGGTAGGTATTGTATCTAGACGATGGATGAATTGTTCAGTATGTTAGCACAGACACGGTTGTATCTTTGAAGAGGATTGGAATCGATCGTACCCCTGTCCTTGTTGCATGCCATCGAAATATGGAACAAGTTCGGCCATCTTGAAATATCTGGCTGCTTTGATCAGGTAATGGGGTATGAAAGGTCTGAAGATGATTCTCAAAATTGACTGGTAGTTGCATCACATCCCGACCAAATGCTGGTCCTTTATATGCTGAAGCACCAGTGTACGAGCAATCCCTGGACCTATACAGACATCACGTCACTCACAACAAACCCCGATGCAATGTTCTCGGAGATGTAACTTCGTGGTGGCGATCTGCATCATTCAGTTCTCTCTATATGAGACATTTTCTTTGGAGAAGTAGATTCCATCGAGTGACAACGACGACTGTCCATTCGGCGGAGCAAGAGCCATGGAGAACGCAATGGCAGTGTCAAGGATACAAACATCGCGAGTACTAAAGCCGATGTCTAGACTCGCAATTGATGTCTGATTCGTTATCGGTGACTCCGAAAAGCCACCGGACGGGCACTGGAATCCGTTGCACGAAGTGGGGAATAATATCGATGGATCTGTAAATCAACTCAAGTGATCAAGGAAACGTTCGGGGAAGAATGGACCTGCCTGTGCTCAATTACCTCGATATAGTGTGTTGACATGGACTGTTCGGGAACTGCTCTATAGTACCACTGCAGTGGCAAATGCATGTCATCAGAGATGCATGAGCTGAACATCGCGCAAACCCCTCCCCCTCATTTCTGAACGCTCAGCTTGCCCTTTAGCTCGATGTTCTACTCCACTTTATACTGTCGGAGGGTTACATCGTTGAAATTCTTGCAATTGTCTGGCTGGCTTTCTATGATGTTCCTCCGAGGGCAAGGCACGAAGAGACTCGGCGGCTGGAAATGAGAAGGCATGAGCTGCGCAATCCCTGCTATTTCTGCTGCTGCGAATACGTAATGAGATGGATTAGCAGAATACAGTATCCAGACTTGATTGTGCAGACAGATACTAGGCTGGAAGATGACGACGGTGGTCAGAAACTCCAGACCTCAGCAGCGAGTACCAGGGATGATATAAAGACCCCCTTCCGGTCGCTCTGAAGAGAAGTCCACGAGAAGCATATCTTCCTCAAACCAAATTTGTCAAGAATATACACAATCTTCTCTACCAAGGTCTTTTATCACAACCTCTACCCCCGTTCTAAACATGGCCGAACGAGCAGAAGCCCAATGGGTGCACATCCGCGTCGTCAACTCCCTGTCCTTCGACACCCTAAGTGTCAGAAACACCTGGCTGGGCTGGTAAGTTCATATCAAGAAGCTATCCTCTCCTCCTCCCTAACACATTATCAGGGGCAAATTCCACAAAGAAAACAACAAGAGCGCCGAAATCCCCGTCTCCGACATCAACGCTCTCCGGGCAGCTCCTGGCGGGTCCTTCAACGTCTTCGCGTGCGGCAGAGCACATTCGCCCTCTGGCACAGAGGGAAGCTTCGACGTGTTCAATGGAGATGTCCGCGTCGCTTACATCTACTGGGACTGTCCTTGGGGCTCGAAGCGCAACCAGTTCCGTGTTGACAGGATTGCTGATGATTACTGGGTGGAGACGGGTTACTGGAATCAGTCGGGCGGTGCTATTGGTAGTGTTACGGTGGAAATTGGGAGGAGGGATCGGGCGATTCGGTCGAGTCTTTAGATAGGGTGGCTTCTGTGCTTCTTGTCCTGCTATTGCAGGAGTGTTTGGTTCGTTGATTATGTGTGTGTTGTAGGTGATAGACGGGTGATGAGAAGAACTGTTGTGATTGAGTCGTGATTAGCTCCTTGCGATTCAATACAAGAGAAGACTAAATCATGATTCTCATACCATTGCAACTGATGGCTTATGGTAGACAGCATGAGTAAAGAGGTAAAAACTTATAGAATTAGTAGGATCGACATCATCGCCCCCTCATCGGGATTTGCTCTGCATTAGCGCAGAGACTGAAGGTGGAGTGGTGATATGATAGATTATCAATTGACAGGTACTCTAGATAGTGTGTTAAACATGTTCAAGATATATAAGTGGTATTGCCTCATCTGTCCGTAGCATTGTCTTGTTTGCTTGAATTTGACACTGAGGTCTTTCGGATATGTTGGTAAGTCCCTAGCAATGCAATCGGAATAGAGGCATCGACTCCTCGACCACCACAACAACAAACTCAACTCAACTCACATTACAGCAGTTATAGCAATTAAAGTGCACACCCTCACCCTATTTCTCGGAGCAAAAAATAATCTGAAAAAACAAAAACGACGACAGTCGGATTTGAACCGACGCCTCCGAAGAGAATAGATTTCTAGTCTATCGCCTTAGACCGCTCGGCCATATCGTCTTATGATGGAAAGTTCGCAAGAATGCTATAAGAGGTCGTCACTCGATGCATCCAACATTTCATTCGGTTTATATCATAAATCATTGATGCCATATCCATACTAATCATATACATCTATGCACTATTTACTCTCCATCATCTCGATCAGTTCCTCGTACTCGCCCGTATTCCGCACCATTTCCCAAAATACACCCTTTTTCGCGACCAGTCGCGCCGGTGAATCATTCCTATTAGCTTTCAGTTAGTTTCGTTCCTAATTCATACTGGTGATAAAGGGGTTGGCAGTGACGCACTCGATAATTTCCCCATCTGCCATCACCAACACTCGATCATAGTCCATGATCGTCCGCAATCGATGCGCAATCGCTATGATCGTGCAATCGGCAAACATCGTCCGCAATACCTTTTGCATATGTGAATCTGTCTCGTGATCCACCGACGCCGTCGCCTCATCAAGCAACACCACTTTCGATCGCCGACACATAGCCCGCGCTAGGCTCAGAACCTGACGCTGACCCTGGCTGAAGTTCTCTCCGTTCGCAGCAACCGGCGTGTCCAGCGCCAGCGGCCGCATTGTCCGGCTCTCGCCCTCGCCCTCGCCAGGGACATGGACTGTCGTGCACGCCGATAGCGCCGCGCGCAGCTCGGTCTCGCTGGACTCGCCAAACGGGTCGAGATTGGACTGCACGTCGCCGGAGAAGAGCACCGGCTCTTGCGGAATCAGCGTCACGTTGGTGCGCAGCCGGTTGAGGCGGATCTGGTCAATGTTGACCCCATCAATGGTAACGCTACCGTCGACGACATCGACGAAGCGGAGCAGGGATAGCCCCAGGGTTGATTTGCCGCTGCCGGTCCGGCCGACGATGCCGACACGCTCGCCTGGGTACGCGACGAAGGATACTTTGCGGAGTACGTCGGGCCCGTCGGGTTGGTAGCGGGCAGTGACGTTGTTGAACTCGACCCGGCCGGAGGTTGGCCAGCTGGCGGGTAGAGCGTCGGCTTTGCGTTGCTCTTCTGTTTCTAGCTTCTCCTCTGGCTCGATGTCGCCGTATTCTGTCATGCGTTGAAAGGAGTTCAACTCCACTTCGAGCTCGTTGAGCGTCCGGACTAGCGTCAGAATCGTCTGACTGAGGCCGATGGCGTTCGTCAGAGAGAATCCCACCAAACCTGCTGATCCGGACCAGAAGTATGCTACGCAGCCGGCTGCGGCTGCTACAGATGCGGCGCAAAAGTCTGTCCGGACCGAAACCCAGCGGTTGCAGTTGTATTGTGCCTCGGAGGAGCGGGCGTGAACTGCCAACTTCTCGGCCAGCAGGTTCTGGAACACCTGGTCCATGCCGTGCCGAGCTCGGATCACGCTCAGTCCTGACAACGAGTCGGTAAAGTGTGAGAATACAGGGGAGTAGTTGATAGAGGTCAGCCGCTTGATCGATACTTGAGCGCGTGTGTACATCTCTCCGATGACGAACCCTGCAGCGCAGATAACGGCCGCCGGGAGAGCAAAGATGGGCATGATGGAAGCGACACTGGCAATTCGAAGCAGAAATCGTAGAGTATTCTCGATGGACATCCGCAGCCACTCAACAAGAACTGTGTCCAGAGACCGTGTGTCGTTTCCGAACCGGTTGATGGCGCGTCCGATCGGATTCTGATCGAACCAGGCAATCGGTGCAGACAGCACGGCCGTCACCAGCCGGTGGTGCGTCTTCTTAGCAGCCACCCAGCTGCCGTACTGATAAATAAGGTTGTTGCATAACTGCAAGGTCAAGAAGGTGATGATGCACGCTGCGTATATACCCAGATAGAACAACGTGTTGGGATGCTCGTACTTGTCGTACGCCCCAGTCCATATGGATAGCCAGTATGTAATGGCAAAGTAGGCAAATTGCACGGAGATGGTTGCAATCACAACCAGTGGAACGTAGGAAGCGCCACCGAATAGCATCATATAACGAAGAGCTGATCTGTTAGCAATGCTCAAAGCCATCTGAAGTCCTCGGGTTCTTACCTAGCGTGCGTGGCACTCTTCCCGTGGCGGACGTCTCCTTAGCTATGCGTTCCTCAGCAGGCGGTTGCTTCCCAGCAGGAGCAACTGGCGGAGGCTCTGACGGGGATTCCAGTGCTTCGTCTGCCACGCGCACATTGCTCTCCGATACGGAAGAGTCTGTATCGGTGCCCGGTGTGGTGCATCGGGAGGACATGAGAGAAAGTGTAGTTTTGGAGATAGCTCGAGCGGGGACAATCCTGCCATGCTCCAACCGGATCACCATGTCGGCATCCTGCAAGGCGGCTGGGTAATGGGTGATTAAAACGACCGTGCGGTCCTTGAGTAGACCGCTGCGGAAACACTTCTCATAGACAAGACTAGTGGTATGGGTGTCGAGAGCGGAGAATATGTCATCAAATAACAGCGTGTTCGATTGCGAATACAATGCCCTTGCCAAAGATACTCGCTGCTTCTGACCGCCGGAAAGCGAGGTTCCTCGCTCTCCCACCATGGTGAGGTCGCCTGCCGGAAGCTGTTGCAGGTCTTGGGTCAGACCACTGGCTTCGATGGCCATGGCATAGCGGGCTTCATCGAACGGGCTATAGAAGACGATGTTCTGACGAATTGTATCGTTCTGAAGCCATGGTGCCTGCGGAACGTACGCTACATCGCGCGGGCAAGTAGCAGTTCCTGATTCCATCACTGTCTCACCCAGGAATGACAAGAGAAGCGATGTCTTTCCGCAGCCAGTGGGGCCCGTCACCACATTGAGAGCGTTGGGCTTGAAGCGGAGAGTGATATCCTGCAGCCTAAAGGCAGCAATGGGGGTGCGTCGGAAGGTGGCATTCTTAAACTCTAACGGGCCGTCTGGATGCCGCTTGATCTCACTAGCAGTGTCAAAGAAGCGGTCGACACGACGCAGCGACTCTGATCCTTGCGCGGTATAGCGGCTGATGTTGGACAACCAGATAAACTGAACGCGCAACGTTTCCATGATTGACAATGAAGTAAAGGCGACAGGTGCCCGCAAAGGAAGATCAGTAAACAATATATAAACAGAAAACATGACTAAAAGACTAAGGAGCGGCAGCAGCTCGCCGCCCATGGAAATAAGAGCCACAAATACGCTGCGTCTCCACAAATGGCGCTGCTCTACACGGCGAACGTCGTTGATGTTGTTCATCGCAGCATGCTCCCACCCAAAGTACTTCAGAGTGCGGATGGACCCCAAGTACTCGGAAATCTTGGACAGCCGAGCATCCGTAGCTTGCATAACGGTGCGTTGGATGCGGGAGACTTTCCGCGACGCCAGGGCAGGCAGCGGAGACAAACACAGCAGCATGAGAACACCAAACAGCGACGGCCATCCTAGCATCTGATACAGAAACACTAGAGCCAAAGTAGTCGAGATCGGGCCTGCGGTGGCTATATAGAAGATATCACGGGAGTTATAGATAGCGTCAACATCGTAAGACATCAAGCTGGTCAGATTGGCCTGGCTTGACTTGGAGGCACCCTTGGACTCAGCCCGGTGCTTCGACTTGGCATGCTTGCCTGAAGAGTGGCCCACAGAGTCATCATAGATGTACGAGCGCATCGCAGTCTGATAGAGCTCCTGGACTAGTGACACATTCACACGAACCAGTAGTCGGGTTGCCGTAAAGATATACTGTTGGTAGCAGAGCGAGCGTGTCGCCGGACCAGCAAAAAGTAGTGCGATCCACAATGCAGGATGGAGCACTGCACTGCTTGGGTTCTCCAGATAGGCTAATAGCCGCAACATGGAGTATGGCGCAAGAAAGTCCACCACCGCCGTAAGGGCCGCCCAGAACATCATGGTTTTAATTTCCGTCTTCAGCATGCGACATAGTGTACGGAAGGTCTTGCCGCCTTTGAGCCGCTGCTTCTTAATCTTTTCTAGCCACTTCAATGGCTCATCGTATGACGGCAGTGGAGGCAGATCATCCAAAGTCAGATCCCTCTGACAGCCACGCAGGATCACATGGGTGATCCACTCATACGAGCAGTAGTAGGAAAAGAGTGAGCATGTCTCTTCTGGAGAAGCCTTCTCTTCAACCACTGAATCGTCCGTCTCTGCGTTCTGAACAACCGAGCGTCGTGGGCGTGGCGTAGCCGCTGCAGTTGCCACAACCGCCGCCAAACAGGCCACAATAGCAACTCCAATGGAGGTTGGCCTATAGGTAGCTCCGATCACCATCATGGGTACTATATCCTGCACCACGGCCAGAATGAGAGCCGTTGTCACCATTGCATTCATATGCCAATACATATGACGTCGATAGTCATAGCTCTTGATGCAGAGCCGGCCGATACCCAACAATACCACGTAGGTCAAAAGGGCGGACCGTTTCCAACTCTCACCATTGTGTATGTCGACCCAGGTGAGACAACAGGCCGCAATAGCGACAGCCAGGTGTGCGAACGCGAACGGCAGAGATACCACAATCTCGGACTGATCATGCGGGGTAGTCTTCGGCGATGGTGATTTCTTCCGGTAGGAACGGATGTAGCGCAGACTTATCGACAACAATACCACAATCCATGATGCTAGGATCGCCGCTAAGTGCAGGTTGCCG